CGTAAGTCGGCCACAGTCGCAGCACAGTGGATTGTAAAGTGGAAAGAATAAGGTTGAACGCAAAGAAAAAACAAGTGTTAGTTAAAGGGGCGAAAGCCAGGTATAACATTATGAATGTCATATGATAACAAAAGAGGCACTTGAGTGATATTACTGTGGTAATAGCAAAAATGTGGAGAATATGGATTACAGTCTTGTAAAAACCAAAATAGGTATATAAGTAAAAACGATATTATAATATTTAATAATTAATTAAGTTCGAATAATACCTCTCTACCCCAGTCTTGTCTAACGCTCGGGTAATCCTTTCAGTTGGCCAAGATGGAATACCTAGTCTTGATTCAAGCATAGGCCAATGTAGGTGTTGGGTTATTCTCTGGCAGTTCCTCTATGGGTAAGGTGACTCTAGGGTTGGCCAAAGCTGGGTTATTCAGTCTTGGCCCATGTTAGGATTACCATTCAAGACCAAGGTTAGGTTACACAAACTTGGCCCAAGTTAGGGTGACTCTAGGCTTGGCCAAGGCTAGGTTATCGAGTCTTGGTCTAAGCCTGGGTCATCATTGGAATGGTCAAGGCTGATTATTACCCAGTTATGAAACTGACTGGGAAGTATAAAACAGACAAAAAATTCAACTTTTGAAAAAAAATTTTTCATCATTAATTTACTTCATGATCATGATAAGGTCGATTCTCGAAAAAAATTTTTTTATATGCCTCTATGCCTTTTGAAATGATTACTGAATCATGATTTTAGAATCAGCTCTGAGCAGCTCTGACAACCTATCGAATAAAAAAAGAATCAGGCCAATTGATTGTATCAATTAATAATTCATTAATAATGACATCGTGTTTAATTAAAAAACAGAAGAGTTAGTAAAAAAAAGAGATTGGTGATAAAATAGCCGCGCCGCCATGCTTTTACAGCATTTCAAACTTCCCGCCTAGTACAACTTTGCCAAGTCGCTATCTCTCGATTCAAGTAATAAAAGAAAACATGAAAACTATTGAAAGTAGCTAATTTTTAGCATTTTTTATAACAATATAAATACCGCTTGTTTTTCTTATTTTTACAGGAACATATTCGTTACATCTTCAATTATTGATTTTAAGTTTTTTAAAACAATCGTAAGAAAATGTTTATTGTAATTCAAAAAAATGTATGCTACAACACTGATCGGGGTAGAGTTCACATGTTAGATGTGCAAATTTTAGTAGTCAATGATAACAAATTTAGTACCGCAAGGGTTATTTAACAAAATTTGTACTTATACTTTATTCAAAATTTCAGGAAGATTTTGAAACAAAAGTAATTTCTTTAGGAACGTGCTTGAAGTTTTTCCACTGTTTTGGTATGCATTCTTCACTGTTAAACGAGATATGATTAATTTAAAAACGAATTCAGAGTTGAAATCAACTAGATTTCATTTTTAGATGTCAAGAATATACCTTAACACTTCAAAAGCTTAAGGCATGCAATATTTTCTCGTTTAAAGTCAATTTCTTCCTGTTTCAATCTGTTAATGTTATACAGTACAATAGCAGCTTGATATAATATTAATATGCAAAATAAGCAAGAATTGATTTCAGTGTGATAATTTAGAAATTCGAGCTTAAGGTTGCTCCAATGAGTTGACGATGGTATTTTTATAATGATGATTTGTAAGATGGTTGCTATTCCTAAATTATATTTCTTACTTTATTTTGAAATAACAAAATGTTACTGCAAATAGAATAATTTTTGAAGTTTAATAACTCAAGAAATTTTGTTGATTACTATTTAGGTAGTTCGATTGCATAATAATAAATAATTCCAAGAAATAATCTCTAACCAAACTAGTATTTGATTTGATTATACTTACGCTCTGTTCATATACTTGTCTGTAATAGTAAATTTTATGGTACGGATACGTAATAAATAATAAATAATATTCTAGATCGGGAGGTATTGTAGAATACGCTGAATATTTAGGGCGTATCCACGTAAGTACGAGTGTCAATACAATAAACTAAAATGAGCTGCAAGTGGAGTTTAGTAACGATGTATAGAAAGAACATACTTTATACAATTTATACTACAATGTATGTATGCAGTTGCTACAGCTACATCAATATTTAAACTACTGTAGACAAAATACAAAAACGATATAATCTTGACGATGAAATTTAAATCCAATAAGATTTTAATAATGATAATTATAATTTTTTAGTTTAGTTTAATATTAAAAAATAAAAATCCATAATTGCTGGTATGATTAATTATAGATTTCAACTCGTATAAATCCTTATTTTTTCAGGCATATAATGTTACTATTATTCATCCAGCTATAGAAAGTTCAATTATTTTTATGTTTCCATTTTATTCACTTCCTTTTTCATAAATAATTTTTTATTTTACTTTCGAATAATTTTCTCATAAATTAACGTACATTAGTACGTTTCTTTTAGTTGTAAATACTATACCGTGAACAACTAATCGAAATTTTAAGAGTTATAGCTCCACACTTTAGTCTTAGTCATATTTTTTTCACGTTATTAAATTAGAATATATTCCACACAAATCGACATTGTACCTCTCGTCTGTTAAACACGTGTATCAATACGTTCGGAACAATGAAACACCGTATTCTCTTTTTATTTCTTTTATCGATAATAAAAAGTGATGCTATGTTTATACATACTAGAATTCAAATTTTCGCGCGCAAGCGCGCGTTTGACTATAGAGTTTGCATATATTTTCATGCTTATGATATATTCGACCAATCACGTTACGAATAGTTTGATGCCACATACATTTCATCTCAATTTTATATTAGGATGTAGTAAGTTTATTACTTTTCGACGAAACCTTCCCAGTGTGGATCATTGATTTGGTTGCAGTTTTTTTCTTATATTAATAGATTAGAAAAAAAGATTACGTATTGTAAACGTCAAAATAAACATTTGTTAAAGTCACTCTTAAATAAAAACAAGGAGTATATATTATTATGTATGCAACTGAGTAATAATAAAACAAATAGGCTTTATAAACTAAGTGGACTTTAAAGTTTCAGCTCAATCCTACTAAGTTTAGCTGCTGAAATATTTTATTTATTTAGAAAAGAATTTGATTTTTTAGTGATTTTAACTATTTTTATATGTCTTAAGTGCGAGTACGGAGGTATGTTCTATTATCGCCTAAAATCCCAATATTTAGCGTCATTAAATTGTACCTGGGAATTATAATGTGCATCAAATTACTATTTTTACATGAAAAAAAAGTGTTAATGGCTTTTGATATGGATTTTTAAAGTCTGCATAAAGGGGTAATAACTTTTCTAAAAATCAATTTATCAACTTGATTTATTTTTTAATCCCATCATCTAATTTATGGGAAGTTTTAAAATGAAAATTGCGTCTTAACATTATATTTTTTAATGACAATTATTTTTTTTTTCGGCAGGCAGTTGGAAAAAGTTTTTTGTCCTTTGAGCAGCCATGTATAAAAATTCATTTCTACACAGAAAGAAAGGTTCACTTGAGCCAAGAAAATATTTTTCTTCCTAATTATTTTCTTGAGCGAAATAAAAATTTTTTTTGACACAAGAAATTTCACTTATTCCAACAAAATTAATTCTCTTGTGTTAAGAAATGAGTATCGTGATCCAAGAAAATTTATTTAAGTCAAGAAAATTTTCTTGTTTTGAGAAAATTTTTCTCTTGCTCCAAAAAATTAAATATCTCGATAGAAGTAAATTTTCATCAATTTTTTTTATTAATTAACATGTTAAATAGGAAGAAGGAATAATATTGAATCATTTTTTTTATTCAATATGTATAATTGCGTACTAAAATAATCTAAAATAAGGGTCAAATATACCCGTGTAAAAAATAATTGTCTTAAAATTGTCGTTCGTTTAAGATCTTAAACGTGACACAAACTAAGACTATTTTAAGACTCTTTTAAGATGCCAAAAAAAAAAAAAATTCCGAGATTTTTTAATAATTATTTTGATTTTTTTAAGACTATTTTAAGATTTAATTTTTAAATAGTCTTGAATAATCTTAAAATAGTCACTTAGATGACATCACAGTGACAGCTTCGGAAAATTATTATGGAGCGTCTTTAAATTGTCTTAAAATTATCTTAAATTAGTCTTAAAAAAATCTTAACAAAAAATTTAGACTATTTTAAGATGGGCTAACAGTGACAGAGCCCCGGAACATTAAAACGGAACGTCTTAAAAAAGTCTTAAAATTGTCAGATAATAATTTTTTAACAATTTTAAATTCAATTTAAAAACATCTTACTCAAAAATATTGCGGTTAGAAAGTCGTAAAATCATCTAAAAATTAATTTTCACAACAAATTCGAGAACAAAATTTTCAAAAATCTGCTCTCGGAATTTTTCTTTTGACGTCTTAAAAGAGTCTTAAAATAGTCTTAGTTTGTGTCACGTTTAAGATCTTAAATGAACGACAATTTTAAGACGATTTTTTTTTACACGGGATTCAAGAGAAAAATTTTCTCAAAGTGAGAAAATTTTTTTCTCAGCTGAAGTAGGTGGCGCTACTTCCCTAAAGTATCTTAAAATCTTGATCGAATATAAAAATTTATTGTATCAAGTATTTATGATCATTTGAACTAAGAAAAAATTACTTCCACCAAGAATAGAATTTCAAGAAAAATTTTTACTTCGGCCAACACAACTTCGGTCTTCCTTCAGGCACCCGAAAATTTACTTGAGCCAAGAATTTTTTTCTCCAGTCAAGAAACTTTTCTTTCTGTGTAAATACAGCTTGAAGACAGCTGGTAGTATATTTAATTGTTTTGCCGATTTCAAAAAATCGCCACAGGAAAATTGAAATTATTAAAAATTAACTTATTATAATTATTTTTTTTTTTCTTTTTAATTTGTTTAAAGTCGCATAAACTACTAAGGTCATGAGCGACTACGGTAGGGGGTACACTTTTGAGATTGGAACTCGTTTGTATTTCTTGGGCTGAGCAGAATAATATACACTTAAATATTGAAAATATTCATTGGTGTACGCCGGATTCGAACCCGGTCCAATGCTTTGGTAGCAAGGGCCGGATCCGATAGGCTACTGCGCGCCTATTATAATTATTATTTTCAGTAGATTTCATAGAAATTTAACTATTGCATTTCTCCTCATGTCGTAACTTTTGAAAAATTTTGCTATTTTCTGATTTAGGTCATCGAGATTGTTTAGAAAATACCATTCGTTCAAAAGTTAATGTATGTATGTATTTATACAATTATATATTTATACGATACAACGCCGCTTGTACTCTGAAAAAAAAAAATTCTTGACCGGAGTGTAAATTTTTTTGGCTCAAGAAAATATTAAGGAAGGTTGAAAATTTTATGAATGAAGTCAGAGTTTCTTGAGCCAAGAAAATTTTTTCTTGCTCTAAAATAATTTTCGTTTTCCTTAAAATTTTCTTGGTGCAAGAAATTTGTTTTTTTGTGTGTAACGACGATAGCGTCTCCAATTCTTAACGTATCTTAATGGAACTCAACATTTTTAAATTTTGGACAATTACAAAGATCAAGTTCGAAGATGAGCTTAATCGGTCAATAAGCTTAGAAAAGACAGCATTTTGAAATTTTCAAAATTTTCAAAAATCATATTTTTTCCACTTCTCCTTAAAATAACTGTTGATTGAGACAACTTATCGACTTTCTGTAAATTTATATGAAAGCCCATTAAATTAGCTTTTATTTGCATACCTTATTCTCAGTCTAGGCCTATAATCACTTATGGCATATAATCTATATGGTAATATAATTAAATTTTATTGTTGCATTCGTTTTGCCATTTGTTTTTTCAATAAACATTAATTTCTTTTTTTATTTGTTTAAATGAAGAAGTAAATTTTTAAACATCTATGTGTTACCATAAATTTATATAAAGAAAACTAGCTATTACCTGCCCGCTTTGCTGAGCACCTGATAGTATTTTCTTGATAATTCTAAACGTAATTATTAATTATAATTAATCGCTGAAGTTTAAGTTCTAATAGTTTTATTGTTCATAAGTTAACTGTATAATAGATTCAGAAAATGTTCAAATAATTCAATCTAAAATGTACTTACATTTCGACTGCCGAATGGCTTTTTTCAATTTATTCTTGTAGTGTACAGGAGGTAATTATTTTTTTCCACCGATGTTTGATATAAAATTATGATAAAATTTAAAATGGTATTTCCGTTATTAGTGTAGATTTTTATATTTAAACCTTACCTTTGATCAATTTACCTATGAAAAAAATCGCTTAAAGGCATTAATAGCATGCTCATTTGTATGTAATAAACTTTTTTTTAATTTTAATTACAATTTTTTCTTAAGAAAATAAATAACAATAACAAAGCATTTACTTTTGCCCAGCCGTTTCGCAGAACATATTGTAAGATTAAATTATAAAACCTGAACTTGAGTTTTTCGAGCAACGTATTAAGATCTACTCCGTATGAATCATAATGATAAGCAAACAACCTGTATATCGATGGACCGCTTTTGGTCATTAGAAAATCAACTTCTTTTACTGATTAAATATGCATCTTACATACATTATTGAGTAGAGATTCATTAAGAACATGTTTTGCGGATAAGCGATCGTCAATAGAGATCTCAGAGAAGTAGTGCGTGCTGAAAAAAATTAGATTTTTATAAATTGTTTTTTAAAGATAATAAAAAGGTATAAGGATGTTAAAAATAAGCATGTTTAGAATTATTCAAAATTAAAACACCTTAAGACTTTAAATTTCGCATGTATGTTTTTTTTTTTAATTGGTAATCCTCAAAAACAGATTTTGCGAAAATTGGCTTCTAAGTAATCTTATAAGGAGTGAATACAGAAAAAATTAGTGTCCTTGAATAATGCTTTCGAGATAAAAAAATTGGTCAAGATGTCTCTGGAGTTGGGGAGACCTCCAATAAAAATTCGTTGTGAGAAAATCCTCCTTCAAGAAATGTAACATGGAAGAAAATAGATTTGATTTTGATAATTCTCAATGATTTAACCACACCGAATATTTGAATGAGATAGTCAATTTATTATTAAGCAGCTGCTGTCACGTTAGTAAAATGTGTAAGAGCGTTGGTGAAGAATTCTTGTCTATTTCCATAAATTTTTGACTTTCTGATTCAACAAAGTCATTTTTAGAATTTCGTTCCTATCATAAAAATTGATGAAAAAATATGAAGGTATTTGATTGATTTTTTTTTATTGATATGCATTTAAAAAAAATTTTGAGATATATTTTATATTTTATCAATGGTTCGGTTATAATAAAAATAAAACAAATTAATAAAAATATTTTGACAAGTTTTGAGCATAAACGCAGAATCCGAAAAAATGAATGTAAATGCAAACTTATAGAAGATTTGGTGGGGAATGTCCTATATTATGGTAGTAGTGATGACTGATGACTATACGCTCGTTAACTGAGAATAGAAGTAAAATCGAAAAGACGAATAGAAGAAGAACATATTGTACGACTAATTTTGCAGTACACTGTAGTGTATATTGTACAGTGTAAGAGATCGTACATTGGTTATATTCTATCAGTGTATATGGATAGGATAGAATAGAAAAGAGGAGCGTTAGAGCAAGCAGACAACGACTATCAAGGCAGCTGTACTCTGTAGCTGGGGATACGACGGTGAGATGCTCGTCGACATCTATCGATCCATTTTACTATCTTCCCTCTTTCTCTCTCTTTCTCCCTCCCTTTTCTCTCTTGATTTTTCCAAATTAATGCGGTTTCGATGATGTGTTCTGTATTGATTTTATTATTTCCCTTTGTCAATTTTTATGATATCAATAATTGATAACGAGTGTCGTGCAATATTTGTGTTTCATTTTTCGATAATTTATCACACTATTACCACTAATAACTTATTGTAGTTTTTTTAAGGAAGTGAAGAGAAAAATTGCTTCATTACTAATAAATTTTTACTTGAAAAATCATCCTCTGTGATAATTATTTAAATATTATTTCCTGAACTATTTTTTTATCTTTACTTTGGTGATTCTATATTTAATTACTTCTCATTCTTTAATACTTCCTTGCATAATAGATACACACCAAAAATTAGGTCAAATTTCAAACGTCTTGAACTTACTCTTTTTATCAAATCATACAAATCAACTATAGACAATATCTGTAAAAGTCGTCGATTTATAGTTTTTAATTATACGCGAATGCATTATTGCAAAAGAAAAACATTTTAAAAATCATTGAACCGGTAGCCCAGTTTTAAAACTTACGAATATTCTCAAGATTTGAAAACCACTTCAATCTTTACTTGTATTTATTGAGAGAAATCGTGCTTTCTTTGTTGGGCTTGTACAGTAAATAAAAACTTGAAATTTCAAAAGAAAAATCAAGAACTCTCCTAAGAGATAGACTATTAAATAATCTATTAAGTATTGGAGCATTTTTTTGGAAATTTTTATAAGCTTAGAAGAAATTTATTAAACTGCAATGTGAAAGAGCTATTCGTAATATAGCTGAAATGTTTTTTGTTAGCATTTTTGAACTCGTCAAAGTAAAAATTATTTTTCTCAAAATTTTGTTCGATAAAAAAGGTCGATTGATTCAGAATTTTAAACGCAAATGATTATATAGTAAACACCAATCAATTAAAAATTTAAGATTTGTTATTTCATTAATTAGAAATTAATTAGAGATAAGCAACAATAGTTTGAAAATTTTATAATACCAACAGTAGTTTTTGAAAAAAAATAACCAGTTTTTACCGAGCTTGTAGAATTGGTTATAAATTTTCTAATCGCAAGAAGTAATTAAACTTGAAAAAAAAAATTTTTAAACAGTTTTCTTTTTTCAAAGTGAAGAAATAAAGTATTTTTTTTGTAAAATTGATCAGTTGAAAATATGTAAAACTTTATTTAACAAATCACTTTTTTAAAAAATTCTTATTTACGATATCTTTTAAATATTTAGGACATTTGACAGTTGGTGATAAGTTTTATTCTAAAATCAATTTTTCAATTGACATAATATAACGTACAAGATAATCTGTTTTATTTTTTTTTTTCTTGAATTTGGTTTTTTTTTTATCCGTGTATAAAAATTATTACTTATTTTGAGGTCAAGAGTTAATAATAGTATACTTCTCTTTTTAGGAAGAAAGTAAAAAATTCTAAACCACGTGTTACATTTAATTTATACAATGCGCGTGTATATAATTTTAAAATGAAAATTCTGTTTAACAAAAATATATAATATAATGATGATATAAATGTGATTTCACAATTCTAGTTTTCAAACTAATAAAATTAAATTCTTATTTATTATAAACAATAACCGCGATTAAAAAAATCTTCTTTATCGATCTCAATTTGCATATAAATACGTGGCTGTGGAATTTTTTTTTTCATTTTTATTACACATGCGCATGGTGTTGCTTATGCTTTGTATTAAAATAAGACAGAGATATTATCTAATGAAGTGACACTTGGTTAATGGTCTATAAATTTATATGTGATGGTTGAAGTTGAACTAATTATTTTTTTTAATGCTTTATTTAAAAATTACTTGCACATAAAAAAAAAAAACATAGAAAAATAAGTAGTAACTTATTTATAGGATTTGAACACTTAAAACAAAAGAACTTATCTTTTCAATTAATCACTATTTCTGAAAAATCGATCAAAAAAACTCCTTCAAAATGAGCGCACTAAAATTTCTCACGGTCCGTTCGTAATGATATCCATCGTAATGAAATCCCGCATCGCTTACAATTTCTGAAATTTATTTTTTCAAATAAAGTATCTTGTAAGCAAACTGTAATTAATTTTCAATCCAAATCATGAAAAAAATTATTTAAACAATGTAACTATTACGTTATTCAAAAATGTAAATGTCTTAGACAACGAATAATAGAAAAAATATTAGTATAATATTTTTTTTTATCGCATTTCGTTTCGCCTGAAATCTCCCGCGTGCACTGGACTGTTGTACGTTCATTTTTCCACATTATGCCTTCATTATTTTTAAACCCGAAGGCCTCGATCAGTTTTTAGATGACCTCGGTTTTTTTTCCCTATCAGAAAATCTGAAATTTTATATAAGCGTCATCAAAAATAAAGTACTATACAAGACTGTTAAGATTTATTACAATTTCTGATATTTTATTGCAATTGCTTAACAAAAACGGTAACTTCGATTTGTAAAGTTACTTTAGAAGAGAAGCAATAGAACAGTGAAAAGTAATGTAATCAAAATCAGAAGAAGAGATAATGGTAAAAAAATTGCGAGCACAATCATATATTGATATATTTTATATGTCTGATTATGATTTTATCTGAGAATGACGGTGAAGTAGCACGAAGTATATACAGCTATATGCATACATATATATGATACATGAATTTTACCCAGTCGTGTTAAGTAATATAATAGCAAAGAGTAATTGAATAATATGGAGTATGAAAAGTGTATAGAATAGATACCCTGTTATGTGCGAAGATGTTGAGAATAGAAGAGAAGACGATGGGCAAAGAGGTCAGAGGGAAGCTGTGTTCGGTGCAGAAAAATCGAAGAATTACGCGTGACGGTGGAGTTTCATTCATGCTTTTGCACGAGCGACAACAGCGACACGCCCTGGCCAATAGACTAGTGTAAGATAAAGTAAGATTCAAGTATGTAACCATAGTTCCGAAGAGAACGAGCTAGATGGAAAATGGTATGAGATGCTGTTTAGAGCACACAATTCGATTATTAGCAATCTTCTCTGTTTCTTTTACTTTCATGCAAAAGTTGATTTCGGTAGACACGGTACATGACTTTAAAAGTTGAAAAATCTAATTTTCTGTATGATTTTAATTCACAAAAAATAAAATGAAAAATTTTAATATTTAAAAAATGCACGACTCCTAATGGTCGTTTAACTTCTAATAAAAAAATCATTTATTTCGTTTCTCAGAGATGTTTGCAGGTATTAAGACTAAATATCTATTAATTCTTTACCAAACTTAGAAATTTGAATATCGTGTTGAAGGTTTTTTTATTTGTTTGATAGTTTGCAAAACGTCTTGGTTTTTTTTTTTTTACTAATAGGAGTACAACAACAAAAATAGTTAAGGAGAAAATAGGGACAAATTTTTCTCATAAAAGAATCTACTGCTCCACCCAATAAGTCGTGCAATATTATGAAAACTACTTCATCATACGTACTGTGTGCTGAATGATAATTTTTTATAACTTTATGATATCCATACCCGTGCAATAAATAAATTTATGAAAAAATTTGCTTATACTCTGAGCAGAGGAAAATTATCTGATGATATTGATTTCCGGTGTCTGACTTATTCTCCGTGGCTTTTTGTCGTTGTACTGAATTCTAGATACCCGTAGTGTTTCGAAATATGAAGTCACTAAATTTCTAAGATATCCTTCCGGAAAACGTCATTCAGGCACCGGTATTTAATAAACGAAAGGCATTTTTTTGATTATGAAATGAATGGAAAGATATTTTTTTTTTGTAAGAAATGCTCAAAGAATACCTCGTTATGCATCAATTGAAAGAAGCTGCAAGTATTTTTGAAACTATAATTTGTTTCTAAAGCTTGAGATCTGTGAAGTTGGAAGAATTTAAAATGTTAAAACTAAAATTTATAGTTAATAATTGAGCTTATACAATATATATATATATATATATATATATATATATATATAACTGTTAATTTCGCTATCGAATTTTTTGTAATAGATAATGTTTAGTCTTCTATTTTTGAAAAAATTTTGTTTAAAACTTGTCAGATGAAAATTTTATATTTTGAAATAATAAAATTTTCATATTTTTTGTGAAAAATGGTGAGGATCCAGTGTAAGAGAACAAAAATATTGGAGGAATCACTTGATTATGAAAATTATAAAGAAATAAATTTCTTTTCAGAAGTAAATGTTACAACCCAATTGTCTCTTTTTAGAAATATTATAAATACTCACAGACGTTCACAAAATAAATTGACGTCAAGAAAACTAAAAATAAAAATATCATTTTCTTCAAATATTAGAGATTCATTATTTTAAATTAGAATACACTTGTGAACGAAAAATAGTTAAATTGCTCTCAAAACTAAACTCAACTGTTATACTGAAACAAAATTTTTTACCGATAAATTATAATTCTTGGTTGAAGACTTGATGAGTTCAAAATTCTCTGTTGAAGAAAATGAAAAATATTCAATTTAATCAACAAATTTTGATATTGATCATTATTTTAGTACATTTTCTGTGAAATATAACAAAAGAGGTCATTTTTACTGTAAATAAAAATAAAATTTGTTATTTTATTTTAGTATGGTGATAAGGCCTACTGTAACATATAGTTAATCATCTCTAACATATAAGAAGGTCAATAATGAGAGTATTTTTTTGAAATTAACATGATTATTGATCTTACATACCGACATATATTAAATATAGCTTAACTATTTCAGTAAGTATGCTATATTTGTAAGTCTTAATACCTGAATACGCGTTAATTTTTTGAAAATCTTTAATTTTGTTTTCGTTAATGGTAAAATATATCATTTTTTGTTTGTATTTCACAGAACTTTCCATTAAGTTAGTTGTTTCATGCAAACTGTAGCGTACTAATTGCGGTATAGTTTATGCTATTGCTTACTATTTCTTATTCATAAGTATTTTCGAATACTTTTCTTATTCATTATTAACATCTCAGAAACTATGTAGTAATTATGGATGAAATTATTTAAAAAAAATTAACAAGTCGTTCAATGTTAATTTACTTCCTTATGAGAATCAAAATATAAGTATATTTTTCTATAAGCATTATCTATTATTTTCAATGAATAAATTTTTTAGCAATCACAATGACACCAACTAAAAGTTAAATATGTAGTTATTAAAATTGATGCCTTCATTCTTATGTAATCTTCATCCTAATAATTAAAAGCATAAAAAATTAAATAGAAATTAACTATCTGATTGAAGGTACTGGTGAATCAGGGAAATCAACATTCATAAAACAAATGAGAATTATTCACGGTTCTGGTTATTCGGACGAAGACAAAAGAGGCTTTATCAAGCTTGTATACCAAAATATATTTATGGCAATGCAGTCAATGATAAGGGCGATGGATCTCCTTAAAATTTCATACGGTGATAGCTCAAGTCAAGTATGAATTCAAATCATTATATTTTTTAAATTCTAACTTTATTCTTGCACAGCTAATCGATGACTTTTTGATCTAGGAAAAAGCAGAATTAGTCAGGAGCGTAGATTTTGAAACTGTGACGACATTTGAAAGTCCGTATGTAGAGGCTATTAAGGATCTGTGGGCAGATTCTGGTATTCAGGAATGTTATGATCGACGACGAGAGTACCAACTTACGGATTCTGCCAAATAGTAAGTAATTAATTATGCTATTATTCAGTTTATAGAAATTCATAACAGTAAAATCTATGGTATTTTTTTATTTTGTTTACTTTTGAAGTTATAAATTTAGAATTACTTTGGTGACAGTTATAATAAGTAATAATATCTTAACCAACATTTTTTGATAGTGTATTCGGGTTCAAAAATGTTTGTTTAATGAGAATACATAGTCAATAGAAATTCTTCATGTTATATAGCTGTGTTTATGGAATAAATGAAAAATCTAAATTAACGTTATTATTAAACAAAAATTAATACAGCTCAAATTTATTAAATTTCTCATCATTTATTTTACACTTGCTGGATTTAAATTTTATTAAGAAATATTATTTATTAAAAAAGTGTGATGAAGAATAAAAATTAATTTATCTAGTTTTATAAATTGTGCAATTATTTCCGAAATTTGTTATACGGCTTCCTGCCTTTTTATTTTTTTCAACATCAAAAATTTATGGAAGAAAAATTTTTTAAACAGAAATTATTACATTATTATCTACCATCGGTTTAATGACGAAATGAAAAAGTAAAGGAGCTGAAACAGGAGTTTTCGGATAGTCCAATGATAATTATGATTCCTTTTTAGAAAATATAAATAAATAAATTTTTTTAATGAAAAATTTTTACTCACATCATTCATTGCATTGAACTGATACGCAGTTTTTTTGTCGACTACTAATAGACAAAACTCACAGTTGAAACAATTTTTATGAACCCTTAACTAGCACTAAGGTTATTGGCGCTCCGGTACTTTCTGAAAAAAAACTCATCGTTTAATTTCTTAACTACTTTAAAAATAAATTTAATAGCTGATACCTCTTCTATTTCATCGGAGAGTGTGATTTAAAAGACACCTATCATACATTGAATTTTGAATTTAATTTTATTGTTCATTCTCTTTTAAATACGAGCAATTAATCGTCTTAAAATTCAACTGATAACTCACTAAGTAAAAATGATTAATAACTAAAAATTTAATCTATACTTGATCTAAAAATCATGATCATTATCGTAAAGCTTTTAATATATTTTATAACAAAAAAAAAAACATAATTAATATGTATCTAATCTACAAATATTTTTTTATTATTTGTGATTTTTATTTTACCGTAATTGTCAACCCTCTTTCTTAAATAAAGTTTATTTTCTAAAATATCGGTTCGGGTGACACTGGTTAATTAATTAAATTGATTTTCGACTGGCAATTGACGTATTTATCATTAACCGATATCTTTTATACCTTATAAAAATTAATTAGTGGAGGAGGGGGGGGGGTCAATTGAACCAAAAAAAGTTTAGCAATTTTTTATTATTCGAATTAAAACTAAATAATAATTTTTTTTTCTTGGAACGGTAGTTCATTATGTCTACTATCATCATTAATACATAAATTAGTCAATAAACAACGTGAATTCTTAAAAATTATTAATTTATGCCAACGCGTCGAATGGTTCAATTGACCCCTGCTTGGGGGCAATTGAACCACTGCTCGGGATCAATTGAACCAATATTATATAAAACTCAAACCCGAACTTTTAATAAATAATATAATAATTGTAACTTGAAACTTAAATGAAACTTGGCTTAATTCAAATATTTTTTCCTCCGAGATTTTCGATATTAAATTATATTATTCGACTAAATAACGTATCATCACCAATTTAAATTCTTTTGGCTAAGTTTCAAATCTTAACAGATGTTTAAAAAACACAAATTTTTCAGTTTTCTTTCCTTTTTTTTTTATTTTTTTTCATTTTCTCAAAATGAAAGTACATTAAAATATTATTGTTTATACCTTTTCTTTTATATGTAATGTATAATCTTGTAAAAGGACGTTAAATTTATCTTCTAGTGACCCTGTTATTGGCTATTGCGGTTGGGTCTATGTAAAGAAATAAATAAATAAATAAATTGCTATTGCACATTTTTAATGCACAGATTTTATATTATGTAAATTAAAAATAAATTTTAAAAAAATATTTATTATAAATTCAGTTCATCAAATTGTTAGGTTATTTCCCTGAGTATTTTTTACGTAGAGTCAAGATGTCCACACATGCCTCATGCTTCTCCGTGGTTCAATCGTCTCTGGGACTGCAGGTTCAACTGATCCCATATAATTTTATGACAATTAATTGTAAATAATAAATAAATAAACTATTATATAATTATAAACGATATTGGAGATTATAAAGTATAAGTATATACAACTATAGTACAATTCAAACTTTATCAATTAATTCAAAAATTAAAATATTATTAAACAATTTGATATCAGCCGAAAAAAAAATTTACATACCTAAAAATACAAAAATCTCAATTTTACAAAATTTATTAATCGCAATGATTTCAAATTTTGATCATGTCAGAGTTTAACATATTAGAATCTAATTCTAAGACGATGAAGCATTTTTTCGGTTTTTTAAGTTGAGTGGTTCAATTGCCCCATGGTTTAATTGATCCCTTTCTCCCCTAATTAAGGTAAGCTTTCTTGAAATTTTAAATTAAAAAAAAAGCTTTCATAATGTAATTTTTTTATATTTTTGTTTTCTACACATAAATTTAAGTAATCAAATAAATTATCAATGTCTCGTAAACGAATACGAAAAACGAAAGTAGAAATGAGCAAATTAAAATTCTTGCTACTGCTATATTGAGACTATAAAAAATTCTCTGTCAAAACTTGAAGGTAAAAAAACCTTTACAGTTGACCAAAAAAAGACTATGGCAGAAAATAATAAGAGATAATAAAGCTACATTATGGTTGGAATTAGAATTATTATCAAATTTTAGCTATACAATTTTTATTGTTTATTTTTCACAATAAAATTAAGGTAGTACCACAGATACTACAAGTGTCAAATGTTCTATACATAGCCTTGTTTGATTTACGAAGTTGATTTTACTATGCAAAATCGCATAAAGAGAGAGAGAGAGAGAAGGATAAATTTTGAAAGTTTTTTTTATTAATTATTACTATTCCATCCTCTGAATCTGTACTTTAAATTACCAAAAATATTAAATGTCATTTTTTTTCATCACCTAAATTTTTATTGAGATTTGAACGTCACTTTTTGTGAAATAAAATGAAAACTATCATTTCTCACAAGACTTGATGTTTTATGAGAAACTCAAAAACTTTAAAAGCTCAATATTTTTTTATTAGTTCTTTAGAGTTTTTCAAAAATTTAGTGGGCTTATTATCTTACTGTACTTTACTGAAATGTCAAATTTCATCAAATTCTAAACGGTAAATCTCTCACCCAGGGTACTATCTTAATCATAACCGGGGTGACTTGACACGTAGGGTTACTCCGGTCACACTCATTATTTTTTCAATTCTTAAAATAATTTTATCTATCTTTACCTATAGATTTTGAGTTAGTGAATCCAGTTCTCCAGATTTCAAAGTACATGATAATTTCCTTTTCTTTATTTCATAGAAATAATTTTCAAGTTTTATTTCTTAGATGACCGGGGAAACCCCACGTTTCTCTCCTTAAATCAAATTTTAAAGCAAAATATTGAATATTTAATATCTTCGTTGCATATTAATGATTTTTCGTTAGAGTCACATTAACTCCAAGATGCTAGTTAAGGGTTCAAATTTTATTTTTATTTCAAATTTGCCGTTTTCAATTATAAAATAATATAAAAAAATTGTCTTAATTTAAGATCTTTTATTTTATTTGAATAAAAAATATTTTTGACACGCAATATTAAACACATTATACAGTTTGAATATATTTTCGAGAACATTTACCATTTAATATTTTTAATAAAATCAAATGAATTTTATTGTAAGATGAAATTATATAAACAGTTATGTATCACCAATTTTAAAATCGTAATTCATAATTTTATTATAATATTAATATTGTATACATATAAATGTATTATATAATTAAACTTATAATTTATGTAGAGTGAAAAAAGCAGATGTTGAGAATATATTGTTACAGCTACCTTATGGAAATAGACCGAGTGGCGGCACCAAATTATCTTCCAACAGAGCAGGACATTCTGCGTGTGAGAGTGCCTACTACGGGCATAATTGAATATCCCTTTGACTTGGAAGAAATTCGATTTAGGTATGTCAGATGACTCAAACAAATCGAAAGGATCAGCCTGTCTGCATCTGTGATCTGCATTTGGTTATCTTCGCCTGGTTTCTTTTCTTTCTTCTTTTTCTTCTCTTTTGTCTCTCTGCATCTCTATTTGTTATCGCTACTAATTCTCATCAATATTTTAATACGTGTTTTTTACTCTTTGCACAATTATTTATTTAATTTAATTTAATAAAAAAATATACTCACTAGATCCATTTAGATTTATTCGTTTTTTAGGAAATCGGAATGCTGAGTGACAATGCACGGCTGTGGTCTGCAATGGAGTGGAATTTTATTGATTAATCAACTTTATATTTGTACTTTAATTTCTAGTTATTTTATTTAATCTTCTTTTAATAATTAACAAATCTTTTAATGCATGGCATGCACTACCACCTGGTATTCGTTTGTTTTGCAGCTATCTTTCTGACTTAGACAATATTAGTAAACCGGAATATCTTCCTTCCGAACAAGACATTCTTCGAGCGAGAGCTCCTACAACTGGTATTATTGAATATCCTTTTGATTTGGACAGCATCATATTTAGGTACTAATATACGTGACACTGATAAAAAATAACTTGATTCAAGAATAATATTCTCGAAAAAATTTCATTCTTGCGTCATTATATTCAGTTAACAAAATTCACTTTTGAATCAAGATAACAAAATTCGAGGATGAAGATAAAAGGTCTTCATTCTAGAATTTTAAAAATTTAATTAATTAATTCAATACTTTCACCTGAAAATTTTCTTGTTACATTAATTTAAGATATTAAAAATTTATAGTAGTCTTTATATCATCAAAAAACAATCTTAAATATGTTTCAGAGGAGATTGACTTGGTAAAAAAATTTTTTGTTCAAATTTTTTTTTTATTTTAAATGACGAAACTTTTTTTTAAATCATGAAAATAAAATTGTTACAAGACAACGAAATTATTCTTAGTTCAAGAGAATTGTGTTTTTCCATGGAAAATTTGGTTATATCTGAACAAGATAATATACTCTTAATCGAAGATTTTGAACTTCTCAAGCTAAAAAAACTAGTTTCGATGACAAAAAATTCTTGAATCAAGACAACTGGCTCTCTTTCAAATAATTTACTTGGATTAAGAAGATTTTTCTTGAATCAATTTTTTTTTGTAGTTTATTTAAATTTATTAAAAATTATGTTTAGGTTATTTCAATAAATAAGATTATTTTCACGGAAGAACGCTTGTTCATTTTTTTTTTAATTTTGAACAAACATTATCAATACAAAAAGAAAAATTCATTTGAAATTTGAGCTCTTCATATTGAGTTGTTTTAAAGTAATCATTTTATTTATTTCGATCGTTTTCAAGCTTCATTTCAAGTTATTTTTTGCGAACAGAAAAAATATGACCAATAATGTTTCTTGTAACAATTTTTCTGTCTTTTTGTATAAATGAATTTAGACATTCTTTTATGAATATTGAGAATTTCTTACACAAAATAAGACTATGTTGCAGAATCCATATATTTATCTTTCGAATACAAATAAATAAAAAGTGTCAGCGTTATGTTATTTTTCCATTATCTCATTGAATTATTTTGACAAAGTAACATTTCTGTAAGTGGATTCTAAGCGACAAGTTCCAAATATTGCGTTGATATTTATGGAAACTCAAACGTTGACTTGATTGAGAATATTCGGATTTCAAGAGATAAAAAATGTTTTAATAGACATTTCTTCGTCAGAACAGTTCATTAATATTATAAAAAGATAAGGGTGATTCTCTGTAAGGATGTTTTTTACTGTTCCGGGCATTTTTTTATTAGAAAAATTGTTATTTTTTAACTAAAAAAAATTTATTACGAAAGTAAAAAAACATTTCTATTTGGAGCGTTAAAAATTAAAATGAAATAAATTTTGGTTTTTTTGCTATAAATTCGTAAGCCACCGAAATGTCAGTCCCCTGGGCTGTCCCAGTCCCAAAATTAAAACTTTAAGATTAAATTTTAAGTTATTCGTAAATAATATATAATTTGGTCCATAATGTTTATAAACTTAATTAGTTAACTAACAATCTTCTTCAATAAAAAGTACCGAAAGTTAATTTGTTTCATTAAATTCACTAAACCAAAGTTTGTCCCAGGCATTTGAGATCAGTCCCTTGCCAGAAGTTCAAAGCCAAAAAAAAAAAAGTCTAGCTTGTTATTTTACCTTTTGTAAGGTTTAAAAGGATCTAACTAGCCTTAAGTTAATAACCATAGGGCTGTTAGCGCTTTATCGGCATTTTATTTAGTGTCAAAGCACCGTTTGTGCTGGAAATATGTGTCTGGGCCACTTCAAAACTCAGTCCCCTGGCAGCTATTTTTGTTTATAATTTATTTATAAAATTGGATCCATAAGTCTTAATATTATTCTAATTAATGTAAACATTCATTGAGAACTTAAAAAGTTAAATGCATTGAAATAGTTTGCTTGATTTTTCTCAATTTGATAAAAAAAAATTAGTCCCCTGTCATGTTACGCATGCAAAAGATACACAAATATCGAAAAATCAAAAATTAATTCGGCTGTTTATTTATTATAATTAAGCTGACAGTTTTGTAGCTCTTGTTAATTTTTTTTCTAATAAAATCAAAAATAATTTGGCCGGACAATTTTGTACAGATTTAAAACGTCCTTACAGAGAATCACCCATAATACAGTGCTGAAATTTTTTCTTTATTTTTATTCTAACAAAATTATCCATATCACAAGAAGTCTTAATTTGTGTAAAAAGACCGAATATTTTATTGGCTTCTTGGAAGACCTAAGCAGTGAGTCAGTCATACTTTTTTTTAATTATGAAAAAAAATATCCATCTCAAAAATTTATTTCATCATGACTCAATATTGAATGCTCAAATTTCCAATAAGATTTTTTTGTATTTTTTTCTAAAATTTTTAAAAGATCAACGGGAGTCGCACTCTGTGATAATAAATTTACTTTGTGAAATGACCTAGATAATACCTATTTTATGTTTGGTTTTAATGTGACAATTACTTACCTTTTTGTATAATTTATAATTAAGCATTTATTGTGTTAAAAAAATTTTAAGTACCGCAAAACTCTAATTTAATAAATATAGTACATATTGTCGTTAATTTTACATCTGATAATATATTTTTAATGCTGCCAATTAGTTTTTAGTTAATTGTTAATTAATACTAGTAGTATTTTAATGACAATTCGGGGAATCTTAATTTAAACGATTCCACGTATCGCCTCGATATTATTTCTTGTCGATAAACTTATTATCGTACAAATTTATTGTAGATTACACATATTAAAAAAAAAAAAAAATTATTTAAATCTAAACACTAAACCAAAAATATTCAACATTATTAAAAAATTTAGTAACTATATTTCTTCTTTACTCTATTATCTCTAATGTTTTTTGTGTGTAACTAACATCCAATATTTTAATATTATCGAATGCTTATGATCTCTAATTACGATTATATACTTTCCTTGCAATTGGATTTAATTAAAATTTAATGAATCATTAGATTTCAAGCTTTTAAAATTCAATTATTCATTTCTATTGCCTGAGTTTTTTGTGCTTTTATATATTAATAATACAAATCAAGTATATAATTTAAAATAATGAATTTCTGCAAAAGCGATAACACAGCTTATTTGTCGACCCGCAAGTTCCTTTTTTATATTTTTAAATGAATTTGTTAATATATTAAATGATTTTGTTGTATTATTAGGATGGTAGACGTCGGTGGCCAGAGATCGGAAAGAAGAAAATGGATTCATTGTTTTGAAAACGTCACTTCAATCATATTTTTAGTAGCTTTAAGTGAATATGATCAAATTTTGTTTGAATCTGAGAATGAGGTAAATATTAAGATCAAGTAATATATTCAATCGGGTGGCGCAAAACGACTGACTTTGGTATTAAAAATTGCGAAATTGATATTATTATTTGTAGAAGTTGTACAAAGTTTTTTACTAAAAATAATTTAGAACCCTTTTTTTACCAAATATTTATTGAAATAAAAATTATAAAGTAAATTTTTTTTATAATTGAAAATAAAAATCTTAAATGCATTTTTCAAAATACACTTTTTTTTTTAACACTGATCAAATAATGTCACAACTTTGAATGGACTGGTTCATATGAAATTTGATATGAACCTTCTATATATATATCTGCACTGATAGAAAAGATAAATTGATTCAAGAAAGAAAATCTTGAACGAGAACACCATTATGAAGAAAAGCCAAAAATGAGATTTTTTTTTTATGACTTTTGCTACTTTGTAAAAAAATTAATTTTGTTCTCTGAAGTCGAAACTGTAACGTTTTGAAGGATAAAGAATTTTCTCAATTTTTCAAAAATGTTTTTATATTCTTTATAAAAATCAATTAATATTTGGAAAAAAAGTGAACTATGTAATGCAGTAGAAGCAATTGTCTTTCTGTCTTTTAATTGTATCTTACGCTTTATTTTTTACATTCTCTAGTATTTTAACTTAAAAAAAAAAAAAAAATGAAAATTTTATAGTTTTCATTCGTTTTCATGTTAATATAAAATCTAAGATGTATATTTTTGAAAGTTAAAAATATTAAAAAAATTTTTAATTTTACAAATTAACGTATATTAATGATGTAGAAGAAATTCGAAGAAAAAAGTTTTTTTTTGTGCCACCATAAACATTTATATATTTCTAAATAATTATTAATTGAATATTAAATTTCATAGAATCGAATGGAAGAAAGTAAGGCGTTATTTAAAACAATTATTACATATCCCTGGTTTCAACATTCTTCAGTAATTTTGTTTTTAAATAAGAAGGATCTGCTTGAAGAAAAAATAATGTACTCCCATCTTGTCGATTATTTTCCCGAATACGATGGTAAGTTACGACTTTTTTTTTTTTATAAAATATACTCAATACAAAACTAATTCATTTATACATACCGATTTATGTTTATAAATTTTCTTAATATTTAATAATCGTTGAAATAGTATTGTAATAAAAAACAATGGCAATACAATTTAAAATGGTTTAGGCCAAAAACAGGATCATGTAGGAGCAAGAGAGTACATTTTAAAAATTTATTTGTCGTCAAATCCCGATCCAGATCGAAGTTGTTACTCGCATTTTACTACTGCCACAGGTCTGGTTGATAAAAAAAAAATTATCCTATAAATATACTTAGATTGTGGGATATTTGTTCGTAATTAAATTGACATATTTAAAGAGCTAGCAAAAGTAGAAGTATACAGTGATATTTAGATTTCTGAGTATTTTCCTCAAGTATTACGTAAAATATACAGCTTGTTAACTTTATACTCTTATAAAGCTTCTTAGATTTGTATTAAAGCTAATACAATAAATTGTCCTTCGAAACAATTTACTTTTATCATTAAAATATCTGACAATTCACATGTATTTATAATGAAATATCTTCACTTATTAATTGTAAGGCTTCAACATTTACGCTAACTCCTAAATTTATTTTTTTACTATCATTTCATTATTTTATTTTAGATAAATTTTACTTGTCGAAATTGAAAAAAATATGAGAGCAATTCTTTAAATACATTTTTATTTTTTTAATAATAATTAATAATTTATTTTATAAATAAAATCATAACCTTAGTTGGTGATTTCGAAGTCATAAATTAAAAATTAATTATTATAATTCCTTAAATACTATCTGTTCGATGTTTTAAATTAGTTTTTTTTTTTTTGTAATCTTTTTATAAAATCTCATGTCAGCTACTACAAAATTTACTGCTAATAATTTTGTAATCGTTAGAAAAATAATTCTGAAATTATTAACAGATTTTAAATAAGCGTGTGAAGAATTATTTGAAACAATAATAATTAAAAAAATAAAATAATTTAACCAGCTGTGTTACAATAAAAAATAATCAAAGTTTTCAGTACTAGGTTTTGATAATAATTGGGACATTTACCTCACATTGTTTATTCAATTTTTTATACTTATCATTCTCATTTAAAATATTAAAAAAATTGGACTTGATCAGTTAAGTTTTCCGGCAGTTATCGTGACCACGTCAGTTTCCATACATACATCAGACACACGGACGTGAACGGAATAATTTTTTTAAACACTTTTTTTATTTATTTAAAAAGCAAAATGTCTTTAAAAAATGTCATAAGTGTTGAAACTATATTTAAATATTATTCTACACGTACGATAGAAAATAAATAGAGACAATTTTAGTTCAAAAAATCACTTGATTTTTGTAAGGCGAGAGTAGAGCACTACCTCATCCGCTTCGCTTATATGAGGTGTGCAATAAAAAAAATTAAGAAGATTTTTCATTATAAGTTTTATAGAGATTAATTTAATATAAGTTTTTTTTTTCGTAAATAATTTATTTTTTTTTAATATTTTTTAATCTTCTATCAAAATATAAAAAGAAGAGTATAAATATGAAAATTTCGACATTTCCCTTATTAACATATTTTCTCTCATGAAATTAATTAATCATCATGATTATCATTCTATTTCAACATTAACTAATAATATAGATAATCATTAATCATAAAATGAGTATTTAAAAACCCAAGTTGTATCCTTAACACGAATTTTTCCAGGCCCACAAAGAGAAGCCATTGCTGCTAGAGAATTCATTTTAAGGATGTTTGTCGATTTAAATCCCGATAGTGAAAAAATTATTTATTCTCATTTCACATGCGCCACAGGTAGGCTATTTGCTAAATCGAATAATCACTTTTTCTTGCATTGTATGATTAATCCTATTTGTGAATGCTTTTATCGTTTAACACTGTAGCTGTTGAAACTTTCAAAGCTTTTGTCTCTTGCGGTAAGAAATAATTATTTGCAATTGATGGTAATAATAAAAATAAGAAAACCAATAAACTGATATTTTGGGAATCTATTGGTTTTCTGTGATTATTTTTATAATATTTATAAATGAAAATAATTCTTAAATTTTTGCATGCTGCGTGCACTGGATCGTTAACACAGATACTGAGAACATCAAGCTTGTGTTTTGCGCTGTTAAAGATACAATTATGCAGAGCGCACTCAAAGAATTCAATCTTGCTTAAATAAACGTTTAACACAAATTTTAATTATTTATTATAATTATAGCTTATGAAAAAAAGAATTATAATAAATAAATTTTTGTGTCATATTACATTAACATAAATTTATTGAAATTATTTAAGCAATTAATTTTAATAAAAATTAAACTGCCATTTAATTGAAATTATTTAATTAATTTTATTATTCTGATTCTGAATAGTTTGTCTCTAATTTACAGCAAGTTTTTATTAATTAATCATTAAATTATTAAACACCAAACATTAATTGAATATTTTTAGTTTTTAAATTTAACATTTGTGATTATTACTATTAAATATCGCATGTATTATTTACAAATTAATTACTCCTTTTTTTCCACTAATATATTAAAGTCATCACTTTTTTTTTTTTTTTTATTTTTTTTTTTTTTTTTTTTTTTAAGAAATAAATTTAAAATGCACGCTTATGAATCATTGTTTCAATTTTAATACATGGATCATAATTTAAGTTTATTAATTAAAATTTATAATTTTCTAAATCAGAATTAGACTTGCATGAAGAAAAATTATTCTCTAAAAACAATTACCTTTATTGTATTTTTTAATAATTAATAATTATCATAATGGGTGAGTTCATACAAATCGATAAATTATTACTTTCCAGTAGCCAAAAGGATATTTAGAAAAAATTTTTAAGTTTTGGTAAGAAAAATTGGAATAAAACTTCTCAACAAATTTTAGATCAAAATTATATTAATTAAAAAATGCAGAAATTTGGTGAAAAATTGAATTATTCTAAAGTATATCTAAAAAGGTCAAGATTGGCTGTTAGATAATTTCATTATTTGAAATGTTAAAGAAAATTTTTTTTCATTGTCATTTCACTAACAATTCTCGGAAAGAATTAAAAAAAAAAAAAACGATTGTGATTTTTGAAGAAAATTTCTTCCCGTGAAAGAAATATTTATATTGCATTAAAAAAGATAAAATTTTGAAGATTTCTTAATAGAATGAATAAATTGTGATCATTACGACAGTTATCAAGTCATTTAATGTTGAAATTAAAGAATTAATTAAACTATAATAATATCCAATTAGTTCAAGAGTTCACTAATATTTAATTTAATCTGTTTCCAAAAAATAAATTAAATAAAATTAATTTTTATTATCACTTTAATTACTGTAATCAATTAAATTGTAATCAGTATAAAATTTTGATTAATTATGATGAATGACGAGTTGATTTTTTTTAATAAAATTAAAAAATGTTAGAAATTGCAATATATCGGTGAGTGGAATTTAATTAACAAAAACTATCATGAGATAACAATAATTGAGTTTATTACATTTAAATAAGCTATTTATAAAATATTAAAATAATATCGTATTTTTTTTTTTAATCCACAGATACCGAAAACATAAGATTTGTGTTCGCAGCTGTGAAAGATACAATTCTTCAATTCAATTTAAAGGAGTATAATTTGGTGTAGGCATGATCGTTGTGATATATTAAAAATTTATTCAACTTTATTTATACGACCCTCAAAACGCACAAATGAAATGTGTGAATATATGAACGGTGTTGAGAGTTCGAATCTAAAATTAATAATAATAAAACAAACTAATAAGAGTAATAAAATAATTAAAAAAAAAATAATAATGTTCCGTGGTAATAATACATTTAATAAAGAATAAAAACTAAGCGAAGATAATTCAAAAATTGGAAGTAAAACGATTGAAAAGTATGAAATGCTGAATATTATTATTGACTCGTAATGTTGTTTTACATAATTTGTCATACGAGTGTACCAATTTTAGTTAGATTTATTATACATACAAAAACACATTCATAAATATAAATACATATATATATATATATATATATATATATATATATATATATATATTAATGAATACGGGAACTCTAGCGACAAGAAAATAAAAAAATAAGATATTTTAAAGTTTTTTTTTCTTTTTTTAAATAAAGACCTAAAAAAAAATAAAAAAAAAAATAAAAAAAATCAGAACGTATGTTCTTTCCTAAATAAAACTTTTCACTGTCGATACCAACAAAACTGATTTTATTTAAAACTCTATTTGTTGAATTTGTTACCTTTTTATAGCTTAGCTTAGTCGATCAAGCCTGTCGTTTGTATGCGACATTGTCTGAATTTTATATAACAATTTTAACATAATAATAATGAAAAAAAAAAATAATAATAATAATAATAATAACAATAAACAAATTGAAATTAATACGATTAACGATAAATGATAAGACATTAAATAAATAATTAAAAGTTATATGATATAAGTAAAAAATTGAATAAACAAATGAAAAAAAAACATTGAACTCGATATGAGATTCGTATATATACCTGTCGCCACGAACAGTGAGATCTCAAACTCGAAACTTTTTAGCTCGTATAGAATTAAAAAAAAAAATTATTACAAATAATAAATTATTGTGAGCTAGATAAAATACAAAATAATAATTAAAATACAAATAAAAATAAAACGATTAATAGACAATGAGCTTTTTTAAATTATTAATTATTAGTTGGTAAATTATCAACAAGTGAGAACAATTAGTGCCATTTACTAGTGTGGTGTTATTATTTTTTTTTTTTCAATTTTATTCTTATTGCAGTTGTGCATTAAATGCCAAGCCAAAGTGTTTTCTGTTACTGTTAATAACTATTTTTTTTATTAGTAAAAAATGAAACACAATACAATAACTATTGATTTTTCTGCATGTAACTAAAATTTAAAATTCATCGTATAAATATTGTCATAATAATAACTATTAGAATGGTTTTTTTTATACACCTTTTTAAATTTTTAGTTTTACCTCAAAAAATGGTAAATTGCATTAAAATAATAAAATTCATTCGACTTCAGTGCAATCAGTCTATTTTTATTTATTATTGTTATTATTATTATTATTATTATCATTATTATTATTAATAATGTTATTGTTGTTTTTATCAATAACAATATTGTTATTATTTAATTTTTAACAAAAATTTTTATTTAATAACGTTTTATAAAAAATTGAATTATAATTTATTATATGAAATATTAATATTAATATTAAGTTCGTTCAGTATTTAAAAAGGAATCTTAATAATAAGCCAAACATCTGTTTGTTTTTTTATTTTTCTAAATAATCTGAACAATAATTTCCATATATAGCATGTATATTTCAGACACGATAAAAGTACAGTTGTCATTGATTGCTGTAAGCAATCATTATGGACACTGCTGGATCGTTCAGCTTTGCCTGTGAATTAATAAATATGAGTATAAGGACGCTTAATATAAAATAATTATAAGTAATATAAAAATTAATAACAAAACATAAAAATATATTACATCCGTTTTATTTGATAACAATAACTAGTATTACTTGAGTTATATGAATGTTTGTTATATTTATGCAATTTATCACATTTTGAGATAAGATTAAGAATTTATAAACGTGATTTAAGAAATTGCCAGTCAAACAAATAAACATTTAATATATAAAACAAATGAAACATAGAATAGCATGTCTGTATGCAGCAATGAAGATTAACAGAAGGAAATAAAGATTAAGATTGAGAAGAAAATCAAGATTATGAAGATTGTGACGAATATAAATATTTCATTCACCCCGCCCTTAATAATACTAATGAAAATAATAATAATAATAGTAATAATAATGATCTTTTACATTACGAAATAATTAGAAATCATCTATTTGATGTAATAAAATAATTAGAAGATGAGAGAGATTAGAAAATAAAAAGACTGCTCTCTCCCATTTTCATGGTGACCTGCACAAAAATGTGTAATCAGGGCTGTCTTTTGAATCCGAGCTAAAATGGTCATGTGTAATCAATTGATCACATAATTCAACAATTTAATAATTGTTTTTTACGTATTATCTAAAATACGAAGTATAATATATGATTATATTTATATATAGTCTATTATTAATTATAATTATAATAATTATAAATTGTAAAATATGCTCATATGTAAATATTTATAAACGTATGTGAAACTAAATTTAGTAATATTATTTATAATGGTTGAGCTTTTCCGACAAACGGCTGACCTATATTTAAGGTTAAATTTTACACAGGCTTTTTTATTATTATAATAACAAGGACGTTGATCCCTGAACGTATTTTTAATGATGATTATTCATTTTTATTATGGACATTACACATTCACTATTTCAACGTACAAATATAATACTACTTGTGCGATGAAATACAGTTATTATTATGGATATGAATATGATACTATACGTGTATAGGAAAATTATATATAAAATTATATAATATGCGTAAATTTAGTTATATAAATTATAAACTTGACTAATTTGACTAATTTGTCACATACAATCAAATATAAGTGTGTATGGTAACGTTTTTTTTTTTTTTTTTTTTTTTTTTTGTTTTTAGAAAACAATATTATAATTAATAATAAATTGTTTAAAGTGCTTTTTAAAAATAAGATAAGAAACATTGTTAATTTATTTATTTATTGTATTTTTTTTTTTTAAATTCACTTTTTCCGGATTATATTTACCAATGTAGCATTTCTCATTTGTAATTATTTAAAACAGCATTTTAATTATCTTCACATTATACTTTAAAAAATATACTAATGTATGAATGATATATCTCAATTATAAATTTTTATTTCAAAGAAGAATATATTTAAAGATTTATATAATTTCTTCAGAAATAGAAGCGAATTAATTGTAAAGCCATTTTTTTATTATTTGTAAAAATATTATTTAAAGGTGAATAATTGTGTGGACAAGCGCTAGATTCAATGATTCAGAGATATTTCTAATCAAATTCTAAAGGTTTTGTCATATTTTTGTCGTGTCTCGTGATCAAATGATTGCACAAAAATCCATCTTCCTTATTCGCTCCGATGGCAACAGAGTTAGCGCCAGAGGTGACAATTCCGAGAACTTCACTTCCAGTAATTTTCATATAATTTCCCATAAGACTTGACCTCTGCATAAAAAGACGGAACTTCATGACCGATCATGAAGAAAATGTTAATGTATGAGTTGAACTCGGAGCGAGTAAGATAAAGTTTGTATAACAATTTTTTGTAACTCATTGTTTGCATATTTATTGTATTAAAAAAATATTTGTTATTTCTTTACCTGACATTGAAAAAATATTACCAGAAACTGTTTTTTAAAGTAAATTTATTGAATTTCTTCGATACCTCAGAACTATTTTTAAGTGATTGTAACTTATTACTCGTAGCACTAAGTAACATAAACTGTAATTGATAATTTTTCTTTAACTGAAAAAAATGAAGGATCAATTTAATGACTTTAAATGCTTGATAAATTTTTTTAATTTAATTTAAACTTTGTACTGAAAACACCAAAAAGATTTGTTGATTACAACATGAAATATAGCCAAATATAAACGAAAACTTTTAAATGTGATACGATATTATTGAATCTTTGAATCTAACGTTCATCATTTACTTAATAACTTTTTTTTTTTTTCATAAGACTAGACTTGAAATGGAATCAGAAAATTCAGATTTCATTTATTTTATCCTGATTTTATAGAATTGTTGAAAATTGAATTTTCATAAATCACAGAATAAGAATGATTTTATTTTTTATTCTTTAGAAGAATAAAATCATAAAAGCCACACGCGTTGCTGTGAGTAGTTCTTTTTTTTATGCATTTTTTGAAAATATTTCTTAAAGCATGCGAATTGATGGTTAAAATTACACAAATAAATTAAATTTTCCATAAGAAATTTTATGCCTCTCCCCCCCCCCCCTTTTTTTTTTCTAAGTGTCTTGACAAATATAATTTGGAAAAACAAAAAAATTTTATAGATTTCATTTTGTGGAATTGAAAGATGAAAAGAATTTTATGACCTATCGCAAAAATTAAGTCACAAACTTTTAAGAAAAATAAAAAAAAATTTTTTTTCTACAAATTTTCATAGCATGAAAAATTGTTTAAAAAAACTGTAATTTTATCATATAAAGGATTTTGGACGGCCCTTTTTTTCTTTTTTTTTATTTCATTTATATAATGTCTGCAAAAATTTATTTTTTAAGAGCTATTCCTTTATTTCAAAAGTATCGATTTTATTAGACATATAAATTATTACTGAAATAATAAATATTAATAAAGTCGAAGAAAACATTCTCAAAAGTTATTAAGTGTTTAAGAAATTTGAATCTAACAGAAAAAAGTTGCTTTCAAATTACCTTATCGCTAATTTCATGATAAAATATTTCCAAGCAAACATTTATGCACTTATCTATCAAAAATAAGCAAAAGACGGAACATAAGTGTTTTTAAAATTGAAATAAATAATTAATTAAAAACAATCGCATGATACATGACAAGTTATGAAAATGAATATCAACTTCTCAATTAATAACAAATAATCAGTAAAATTTTGAAATCAATCTCACAAAGACAATCTAATAATTAAT